TTTTTATTTTAAATAGTTTACAAATATTTAAAATGTTTTGTTGTGATTTATTAAAATAATTTTTATTAAATTTGTAAACGTTTTTCATAAAAAATTTTGTAGACATTTTTATGTGTTACTATTTAATTTTGACTAAATTTTAAAAGATGTATGAACAATCTTAAAATAAATATAGATTCAAATAGTATACGTATAAACATTATCTTTAAATAAGATATTAATAATATTCATTAAAATGTTATCTAAGGAAAACGTGTAATGTTTTTAAATATTCTTTTAAAGCATAATAATTAGTTATTTTTTCTTGGATTTTTAGAAATAATTTTTTATTAAAAATAAGATGTGATATTAAAAATAAATAATTGAAAATAAATATATTTCAATTTTAATTAGTTATATATATTCCATTGAAAGAAATTCTATTTATTTTAATTAATAATTTTTCTAATCATTATCTAAACTAGAAAAAAAAAAAAAGAAAATGAAAAATTATTTTCTTTTAAAATATTAATTTATAATATCTAAAATCTCAATTTTTTAAAATTATTATTTCTTATTTTTATATATAATAGAAATATGTTACTATTTTTTAGGATTTTTAAGAATTTCATTAAATATATTAATATTCCTTAATTTATAACAGTAGTATTATCCAAGAGATAAAGAATATAAAATGAATGTCAAACCTTTTATATTAAAAAAAAAAAAAAAAAGAAGGTATCCATCAGCGCATTATTTAAAAGTGAAATAAAATTTAAAAAAAAAAAAATATAATAGTTCAAATAAGCACAGTTAATATATTCGATATTTTAACTTTAAAATTTTATATATATAAAATAAAATGAGGTCAATTAAAGATTAATATTAGCATGAGATTAACTAAAATATAAAATTTATTAAAATAAAACATTTAATTAAAACAAGAATTATATAAATAAAAATATATAAAAAATTTTTATATTAATTTTGTTTTATTTTATTTAATTTATTTATCTTTTTGTTTTTTAATATATTAAATATAAATAAAAAAAAAAATTAGACAAATTTAATAAGAAATTAGAAAGAGAAATTAATATATTCGCTTTTACAAATAAATACGTTTAAAGATTTTATATTTTTATACGTTATTTTAATTTTTTACTTTTTTTTTTTTTTTTTTTTTTATACATTACTTATGAAGTATATTTATTATTGCTAAATATTAAATTATCACTTATTTTTCCTTCTTTTATAGCATTGAAAGACCTTACATCAAACTTCAAATCTCCAGAATATAATTTTTTATGCAATTCTTGTATATTTTTTATTCCCATACTCTGAAATCCATGTTTAACAGCTTTTACAAGATGAGGAATTAAATTTAAAACTGATCCTTTATCAACTAAACTTGCCGAAACCCCTTGAGATACTTTTATTTCTTCATTTTGATCATCAAAGCTACTGATTTTCTTATCTTCCACCAAATATCTACTTTTCGAGTTAAAATTTTTATTATACATGGCTTCCATACTTCCCATACCTCTATAAATTTTTAAACGAACATTATTTTCAAAATAATAGTCACTACAACTTTCTTCTGTTGCTGCTAATAAATTTCCTAACATGACAAAATCTGCACCTAAAGATAGTGCTTTGACAATATTACCTGAATTTTTTATTCCACCGTCAGCTATCGTTTTAATATTCCTTGTGTGTGCATAATTACTTACATGATATACAGCTGTTCCTTGTGCTCTTCCAACTGCACACACATCTTGTGTAGTGCAAATAGATCCACTTCCCATTCCAATACGTAAAATATCTGCACCAGCATCAATTAAATTTTTCGCTTGGTCGCATGTAACAACATTTCCTCCTATTATTGGTACTTCAGGATATGCTGACTTAATTTTTTTAATTGTATCTATTTGATATATGCTATTACCTTGTGAAGAATCAATACATATTACGTCTATCATATTTTTAATTAATTGATTTGCTCTTTCTAAATCTTCTTCTCTTGTTGATATAGCTGCCCCAACAATTAATTGTTTGTTCTTGCTTTTAGAAGCATAAGGAAAAATTTTATTTTTATGCATATCATTCCTACATACAAGAGCTATTAATTCATAATTATTGTTAACAATAGGAAGAACACTTTTTTTTTCTTCACAAAGTACTTTATTTGCATCTGTTAAATTTATTGGATAATTTCCAGTTACTACATCAGTAGTCATAATATCACGAATTTTTTTACTTTTATTTGTTAAATAAAGGTAATCAACACTTGTAATTATTCCCACTAGTTTAGAACCAACTTTGCCATCAACTGTTATTGGATAAGATTTATAACCAACTCTTTTTTTTGTTTCAAGAACATCTGCTACAGTATTTTCTGGTGAAAACGTATAAGGATCAAAAATAAAACCATTTTCAAATCTTTTCACTTTTTTAACTTCTTCAATTTGATTTTCAATGCTCATATTATTATGTATAAGACCTAATCCCCCACTTAATGCCAATGAGATAGACATTTTGTGTTCAGTTACTGTATCCATTGGTGAAGATATTATAGGAGTTTTAAGAGAAATATTACTCGTTAAATTATTACATAAATCTATTTCACTTAATGAAAAATCTATATATCCAGGCATACATATTATATCATCATATGTATATGACATTACACCCCCAAAAATTTGTTCAGCATTCCATCCATTTGCCATTTTAAAATAGACAATATATAGTAAAACAAATATGAAAATAATAAATGTATATATATATATATATATATATATATATATATATATATATATATATATATATATATATATATATATATATAGTTATCTTTTATTGCTTTATAATTTTATATATATATAAACTTTATATATTTATATTTTTTTCTAAGTTGAATTAATAATTTACTAAAAACAAATTTTCCTAATAATTTTATTCATAAAAATAAATAAAATTCAATATTAAATTTTTTTTACATTAGTATAATTTTAAAGAAAAGTAACCTTTGTTTTAAAAATTATGATACTTAAATGATATAAAGTATTTAAACAAATAATCTAAACTTATAATTTTATAATAATTTTTAAACAATAAAATATTTATAACTTATTACGTAAATCTTATCATTTCTTTTATAAATTATTTATTATAACTTTTAAATAATAAAATATTTTGAATTTTAAAAATGATGTTGTAAAAGGAAAATATGTTTTATTTTATTATTTTTTTTTTTTTTCTTTTTTTTTTGGATTAATTTATTCAATTTTATTATAAAAGCAAAAAAAAAAAAAAATAAATAAATAAAATAAATAAAAATAAAAAAATTAAAATAAATAACTTTGCATTAAAATTTTATTGTAACCTTAAATTTATCAATAACTTATTTTTTTGTTATATATATTCTTTTTTTTTTTAAACGCATTTTTAGTTAAAAATAATATGGTTATCTTAACATATCAATTGAGATATTACTTATATTTTCTTTCTTATCGTTTTTTAATTATGTCAATGCAAGTGTATAAATATTTTATTTTTTTTTTATTTTTTTATTTTTTTTTTTTTTTTGATTATATAAATTTTAATTATTTTTTTTTTAAAAATTAAAAATATAAAAAAATCATACATATATATATTTGATATCAAAAATATATATGTTTGTTTTATTACACATATATATATATATATATAATTTTTTTTTTTTGTTTTTAAATTATGTATAAACATTCTGATAAGAAAAGAAGAAAAATAAGCAACAACATTGAAAACAAGGAGAAAGAAAATCATTTGTTAAATGTTACAGAAGATGAGAAATCGTTAAATAATGAAAAGATAAAAAACATTCCAAATGAAAAAAAAAACTTGAAAAAAAAGAATAATAAAAAAAGAAAAAATACTTCAAAACCTGAAAATGAAGTACAACATAAAAAAGAGGAAATTGAAAATAATAATTCAAAAAAAAAAATGTTTGATAGGAATAATTCAAAAAATAAAGAAAAAAAAAAAAAAGATAATGTAAACAATGAAACCAATATAAAAATTAAAAATAAAGAAAATGACAAAGATATTAGAACAAATGAAAATGAAACAAAATATGACAAAAAAATTATAAAAGATAAAGAAATTATTAAAAGAGAAGATAAAATGAATAATGAGGAAAAAAAGCCTAAACATTATTTAATTAAAAGTTCACAAGACAAGAGCTTATTATTAAACAATATATCTTCATTAGAAGAAAATAAATTGTATGTTAAAAATTTAACTGAAGATATAAAAAAAGAAGATTTAGAAATTTTTTTTTCAAAAATTTCAGGTTATGTAGATACAAGAATAATTTATGATTGTAAAGGTAAATCTAAAAAGTATGCATATGTTGAATTTGATAATAATGAAAATGTAAAAAATTTTTTAAATACTTTAGAAAACAGCAATGTTGAAAATTTTAAAAAATTTAATATAAAAGATGTAGATCTTTTTACATGCATTTCAAACCCACAAAAATCATTATATGAAGAAAATAAAGTTTTTATTAAATTTAAAAAATGTAATATTGAAAATGATTTAGATATAAAGGAAGAAATATCAAAATTTTTTTCTAGTCATTCAATCCCTGTTAGGGATATAAGACTTCTTGGTAACAGTACAAACAAGTAATAAAAATATAAAATTAAAAATTTCTGTTTATTATAAAAATTTCATATATATTCATATAAAAAAATATAATACATCATATATATATATATATATGTTTTATTTTAAAACATGCAGACATGGTTATATTGAATTAGAAAATAATGACGACGTTATTAAATGTGTTGAAACTATTAAATTGTATGAATCAGAAAATATGGATTTTAATTTAAACTATTCTATACCTATAATCAAAAAAAAAATTTTACTAGATTTAGAGAAAATAAAATTAAATAAAGAGAAAACGAAAAAATTAAAAGAAGAGAAAAAAAAAGAAGAAAATAGTTGTACAATTGTGGTAAAAAATTTACATTATAATACAAGAAAACACAAATTACAAAGTTTTTTTGAGCAAATTGGAGAAATAGAAAACATATATCTAAGTAAAAAAATTTCAGAAAATAATATAAAAAGAAATAAGGGTTTTGCATATATTACTTTTAAAAATCCAAATGATGCAACATCTTCTTTAATACTTAATGATTCTATTTTAGATGGTAGAAATATTTTAATATCAAAATTCCAAGATAATAAAAATAAAAACTATTCAGAAGTTAAGCGAATATCAGATTTTGATAAAAATTCATATATAGATAGAAAAAAAAATAAAATATATGGAAACGAAAATTATTTTTATGAAAAAAAAAGAATAAATTTAAGTAAAGACACTGAAAATATAGTAAAAGAAACTGAAAAAAGATGTGATCATACAACTAGTTCTATGACAAATGATGATTTCAGAAAGCTTTTTTTAAAATAATTTTTTTTTTTTAATTTATTAAAAGTTCATTTTACTTAAAAATTATATATATATATATATGTTTAATTTTATAAAATAACATTTTAAACATATTTTTAACAATTTTTAATTTTATTTTATTTTATTTTATTTTTATTTTTTTTTTTTTTTTTTGTTAGCACATTCTTGCAAGAGCTCTAACTTTACTTTTATATTCATGTAGGTTATTTTTTAATTGTACCTAAAAAAAAAAAAAAAAATATATATATATATATATATATATATATATATATATATATATATATTTATATTTTTTTTTTTAGGTACAATTAAAAAATAACCTACATGAATATAAAAGTAAAGTTAGAGCTCTTGCAAGAATGTGCTAACAAAAAAAAAAAAAAAAAATAAAAATAAAATAAAATAAAATAAAATTAAAAATTGTTAAAAATATGTTTAAAATGTTATTTTATA